CTCAGAGACAGTTCCCTGTGTCTCATTTCAATGTCAAACCACCATAATTGTCCTCCTCAGAACATTAAATATGATCACTTATATATTACGGTAAACATCAACTCAGGTGAATAAGTTGACGTCTGCAAGGAAGAGCCTCTGCTTTATAGAACTGATGCTATGCTTCCTGAAAGCCCCACAATGCAGTTTAAAAACAACTAGATGGTTTTTAAACTCACCAACTGAGATGGGAATTTCTGACACTAAGCAATGTGGTCACAAAGAGCGACGTCATGTGAATGCACTGTTTCGTGACAAAATTTCTGGCACTTCTGCTTGACATCATTAAGCAAATCATTGTAAGTTGTTACGTGAGGATAACACATGGTTGCCATTTGCAACCACCTACTGTTCCACCTTCCCCGTTGACTTTGCTTGCAGGAATTTGGGGGGGAAAAGTCACAAACTGTGATCATATGACTGTGGGACACTGCAGTGTCATATCTGTGAGCTCAGCAACCAAGTGCCCAGATCACAAAGACACTGTGAAACAACACAAATACAAGGACCAGTCATAAATACCACTTGTTCCGTGTCATCATAATTTTGTGCAGCCACTGAACGAATAGTTGTTAAGTGAGGATCACTTGTACTCTGTTGTAGGAATTGACTGGAATTGGGGAGACCCAAACTGAAATTAGCGGCTTTAGTGGGCCAGCATCTGTGCATTTAGCACTTCCCTCTAGCTTCAGTCCTCTTTTTCTGTTCTACAACCATTTCCTTCCCTAGCTCTAAGTGGCCTAGAGTGTGTGTTTATTAACGGACAAGGCACAGAGCCTCAGTTCTGCATACAAGCCAGGAAGAACAAAGCCTGAACCTTTTCAAAGATAATGGAAAAAACGCAAAACGTATTTCTGAAAACTTGTAATTAACTACCGTAAATTATTTCATGGAGTTCTTTAAACTTAGGAATACTTTTCTGAACTTGGGTATCATTGTGTGGGACAACTGAGTGTCCCACAGTGTGGCAAATGAATAAGTTACCCTAAGGAACCATTAAAAAGATCATTCAGAGAGTCAGACAGAAGAATTTGTACCACATGTCAATCTGGGTGGAATATTCTGTCGAGCCCAGCAGAATATCAGGCGGTCGGTACCAAAGTGTTACCACCTCATTGGAGTAGGTCTTGGTGGGGATAGATTTTGCCCGGGCTAATCCTGAAAAAGATAGAAATGCATTTGCAAAACCTTCCACAGAGCAGAAAATACTATTTCAGCGGTTCCTCCTCCTCCTCCTCCTTTTTTAAAACAGTATTACAGTTGATAGAATTGTACCAGTGAAATTTAGTAATATATTGCCAAATATTGGAAGTGTGATGGGAATGAAAAATCTCGTTCAATCCTCATATCATTCCTACCCTCGAGGCCATCAGTTACCAAAAATAAGGGCATGTCAGCCCAAAGATTGCTGGAATATAGATCAAAAAAGGATTTGACGATACTCACCAAAATCTGCTAGTTTGAGCTCCCCTCTCTCGTTAATAAGCAAATTCTGGGGCTTCAAGTCTCGATGCAGCACCTTCTGACGGTGACAGTAGGCTAGGCCACGTAGCAGCTGGAACAGAAACAACTAGAAGAGGGAACAAAGCCATCTAAGTGAATTTTTCTGGGCAAATACAATTTCCCTATCATTCACAGAATAGTTCATATTGCGTATCTTTTACACAGATATTTATATAGAGTAATTGATGTGTACGTTGCTTTCTTTTCCTAATATATTTCCAAATCACACAACAGTGCCACTGTCACGTCAGTAACTAAGATAGTATGAAAGGAAAATACAGGTAGTCCCCAGTTCTGTTCCCCAAATCTGCCCTTTAGTTGAATTTATATGTAAATCAGAAACAGTATTATATATAATATTGTGTAACTAGTATTGTGTAATGAACTTGAAACATTGTGTATTTAACTTGAATTTTGCTACAATAGGCTCTGTACTTAACTATGGATCATCCTTAAACTAAGGCATTGTTAAACTTGGGAATTTGCTACATATAAAGAATTTAACAAAAAAAATCTCTTTATCGGGCATCACTGCTTGTGATCATCTGGGGAATATGTATCTCCAAAAGCACATTTAGTACATTTAACGTAGGCATGACCAATAGCAGTTCCATTTGAGTCCAAAATTTGCACCATTGACAGGAAGACTATGCAGACAGTGGTAAGGACAGCAGAAAACAATATTGGAAGTTCATTCTCTTCTGTCCAGGACACGGTATACAAGCAATACTTGACCAGGGTCCACAATATTGTCTGAGATGCATCCTCTCCATGAGCGGTTTTCTTTGTTACCTTCTGGGAGGAGGCTTTGCAGTATCGGAAGCAGAACAACAAGATTCTGTAATAGCTTTATACCATATAGTACCAATATTGTTAATTCTCAAGGCTCTTTTTTCTGCTACGTATTCTAAATGGTCTGTGATGATATATATATACTGTGTGTGTGTGTATGTATGTATGTATGTTTCTTTCTTCTTTTTTGAGAATGGGGATCAGAATTTCATTTTTTAATGCCAGTGTGTTCACAGAAAAAAAGTGGCAATAAAGATTATTTTATTTATCTTATATCATATATTCAATTCTTCTCACATATCACATAGGATCCATGATATATTTGTTTGGATTGCAGTCTCCTGGACATACACTTACAGATGATATTTTAGTCCCTGAACATGTGGGAACATAGAACCTCTGTTCCTTTAATACCATTAAAGGAAGATATTAAAAAAATCAAGGTGGGATTATGGGAGCATCTTGGGAAATCCTGATACAGTACATCTGTTACTTTTCAGTAAAACATTAATAATATATATGGAACATTTGACTTGGTCTTTTTTTCTATAATGGAGGGAGGTTATCCATAATTGCTTCTCCCTTTCACTCCATCAGACAGGAACAAATATTCTTTGATGCCCTTATATATAAGGAGAGAGCAATATCCAAGCCTACCGATGGAAATATCAGACAACATGAGAATTCCAAGATTAGTAAAAAGACAGAATATAAAACCCTGATGTTCACAATGAACTGGACATTGAAGAGTTGAATACCTTCTGCCCACTGCAAGGGAAAAAAACTTTAATGATAATCCAATGTTTCTTTTTCCAGAGGGGAGAAGGATATCCACAGCTGGAATCTACCAAAACATTTCCAAAAGTGGTAGGGGCAAACTCTTTTGGCTGGCTGACTGTCATATATGTGGAATGTATACATATTCTGCCAAGGCTTGCACATCTAAACTGTAATGTTGCACAACGGAAGAGATGAATGACCATACAGCTACCTTACTAATGTCTAACAGGACAACTTTAGGGACGAGGGCTAAAGTACGGAAATGGCTGCAATCTTAGTAGAACAAGTTGTGGCCTTGACCAACAGCAGAGCAGCACTTAAAAGAACTATCCAGAACAAGATTCACCTGCAGAGAGTTGCGAACAATTACTCTGTGCTGCAGGAATGGCTGTTGAAATAAAACAATATGAAACCCAAAATGTAAATCTTGACAGTTAGCCACATCTATCTCATGCTAGTCCTTTTTAACCTAGATAAAATAAAAGTTGGGAAGCACAACTCCTATATTATGCTGAAAACATACATCTTTGCATAAATGAAGATCTTAGGCATAGCTAAGATCCTTAGGTTTATATCCTTTATCCTTAAATAGGCATAAATGATGAAATGGTTCCCAGCACGCACAAAATCGTATGTGGCATTGCAAGTTCAGAAATATGACAGATTGAAATAACAGCAATTAATTATTCTGAACAGTGATAGAAAAAATGGGAAGTATAAAGCAGGCCTGGAGGCCACCTAAAACTTAACATGTCTTCCACAACTGCTGCCTGTATTGAGAATCAAAAGAAATAATTCAGTTCTCAAAATGGCGACATGAAGAGAGGTTTTCCCAAGCTTCATAGTGATTCTTACCTAAGATCAATTGGTCAATCAAAGCAATCAGCTTTGGATGTACTCCACCAAAATAGAAATCAGGTGCAACAACTGACGACATAATTTAGAGGTCTTCCTTACACTTACCGTATTTATCGGCGTATAACACGCACTGGCGTATAACACGCATCTTCATTTTAAGGGGGAAATTTCAGGAAAAAAAATTTAAAAAAATTCTGCCTGCCTGCCTTAGTTTCTGGTTGTTTGGGAGCAGCTTCGGCTGAGAATAATAACTATTCGCCTCTTTTACTCAGCCGAAGCTGTTCCGATTCAACCATTAACGAAGGCAGGCAGGCAGGCAGAACGGAGCACTGCGGGCGGGCGGGCGGGCGGACGGGGTGGGGGTGGGGGAGAAACGGGCGCTTCAGGGAAGCTGCGGCGACAGGAAAAGCCCCCCCCCCCGCTTCTTTGAAGCAGTTTCTTCCTGTGCTGGTGGAGGAGCGAGAGAGCAACTGAGAGAGCTGACCCAGAGAGGAGGACAGGCTTCGGTTGCTTCCTCCCTCCCCTTCTTTCATTTGTGTCCTTGATCCCCGATCCCAGCAGCATTCACCGAAGGCTTCTTAACATTATATCGGCGTATAACACGCATACATCATTTGCCCCCTATTTTCAGGGGGAAAAAAGTGCGTGTTATACGCCGATAAATACGGTACTACTTCATTCAGGTCAGATACGCATAGACTGTGGTATGTTCAACCAGGAGCATATGGTATAGAACAGGGGTGTGAAACTGGCGGCCTGTAAGCTGGGGATGCATCACTCCCACCCCAACTCCACAAATGGGAAAAACATTGTGAAACATCACATGACGGCAACGTGACGCAGCGAGTTTGATACCCATGGTATAGAAGATGACTGAAGCTAAGCAGAGCCAGATGAATGACCTTGAACTCCAGGAAGTTGAAGGAAGAAGCAATAGCCCTTAGCTTTGCAGCACAAATAAAGCCACGGATAGCTGATCTAGCTAGTTACTACTGTTGGAGGAGCTCAAGAGCACAAAGTTTTTCCCTGTTGAAATCGTGGAGATGTTCGCTTACAGAAAGGCAGCCAAGCCAGTGACTCCATGACCTCACAACTATTTCCTTCAGAAATGGCAGAAGTTCCAACAGAATGATCCAAGAATGATCCTTCATCTATGCCTGCAACCATGACTTCCTGGAGATGAGCTAGAGTTAGCACATGTAAGGGCAATCCGACAAGGCTCTTTATCTCCCTTGTTCTTTGAAATGCAGGCTGTAGTTAAATTTTTAATACTGTATCGAAGTGCACAACAAGTGGGAAAAAGCTGTGTCTTTCTAGGTTGCCTCCTATCCCTCCCAGACTGATCAGACACAAAGTCACTGTCTTACTCAGCAGATACTAAAACAGACCTCATGAAAAAAATCATCTAGGTAAAGATAAACATGAATTTCCCAATCCCACAGAAACATCACCAATGTCAACAGGGAGTGTTTTAGGAACCAACGTCCAGATGAAGGAGAAAGTGTTAGGAATATAAGTCACCTAACAGGTATTTGGGTTAGAAATATATAAACCAGGATAAACATTTTAGTACTATATCTTTAAGAGAATGCAAGAGCATGCAATTGGGTGTGGTTTCTCAAACAGCCATAAGATGGAGCCAGAAACCTGGGTTGTTTACTCTTAGTCTCAGAAGAGAGTGTGTCTGAGTATCTCTGTTTCCTTCTGTTGGGAAAGTATTGCCGTTGTTCCATTTCTTCTAATTGACTGATATTACTGGATTTAATGTAAGTCTGATACTGAACTGTTTTTGACACTGGACTTTGTTACTGGATTATCCCTGAATTGAAAAACTGACTGATTTACTTGTGAATGACTTTGAATTGCTTATTTTGGACTTTGCTTAAACCTTTCTGGAAGTAAAAACCTACATTTACTGTACAGTGTATCTGTGTGCTCTGTGTGTATTATCCAAACACTTCTCTCAAATACGTCTCCCTGTATGCGCTCATTCTCCTAACGGGGAATTTCCTCAACAGAAAGTATCTTGAAAACAGTTCTCCAAACATTTTAACCAGAGGAACTGGTTGGCGAAAGGGGTGGATTAAAATATGCAGACCAGCCTCCTGAAGATCCAGGGAAGCCAGAATGTTTTAGCCTATGAGACATTCCATGATGGAATCCAACGACTCCTTACAAAGCCTGCAATGTTCTATGTGCTGATTCTCCCCACTTCAAACCTAGTGGGGTTCTCCTCCTCATTGCTTCTTCCCGGGAACCACAACTTATACATAAAGTAGCACTTGAGGCTCTTTCTGCAGGAAGAAATAGTTCACTGGCCTTGATGGCCAGAAAAAGATCTATCACCACTTCTAGTATTTGACAATCCTTCTGATTTCAAACCCGAGGGGAAGAAATGAAGAAATCCCACAGAAAAATTTGGAACGCAGTGAAATATCTCCACTGCACGTGCGAAGTATTCAAGAGTCTGATGTTGTGAGCCAACAATACTTTTACAAGTATTACAATGAAACCAGTGTTGCTGTCATTGCTATTTGTGAGTCCCTTTGCAAAGACGGGAACACTAGAACCTCTAAAAGGAAGATGGGAAGGTTATTGTTTCAGCTGTATGAGAGCCTAGATTCAACAGGGACTGTTCAAAGTTACAACGGCACTGAAAAAGATTACCTATGACCATTTTTCACGCTTATGACCGTTGCAGCATCCCCATGGTCGCATCGTTTACATTTGGATGCTTGACATCTGATTCACATTTATGACAGTTGCAGTGTCCTGAGGTCATGTGATCACCTTCTACAACCTTCTGACAAGCAAAGTGTCAGGGATGTGACTTCTCCAATAGGACACAACAGTCTCCAAGAGTCACCCATCATGCTCTCCAATAAACTTCTTATGCTCTGACAACTTTGGGTTGCTGAGTTGATATCCAGGCATTTCAAGAATGCCTTGTTTTCCCACACTCCCTTTTTCTGGCAGCTAAAAAGACCAAAGGAGTATCTTTTTAGTTGACACAAAGTCAATGGGAAAACCAGATTCACTTGCCAAATGTTGTTACTATTGTAACAACTGCAATGATTCACTTAACAAATGTGGCAAGAAAAGTCCATGATTCACTTAACAAATGTGGCAAAAATCCATGATTCACTTAACAAATGTGGCAAGAAAAGTCGTAAAAGGGGGCAAGACTCATTTAACAAATTTCTCACTTAACCACATAAATGCTGGGCTCAGTTGTGGTTGTAAGCTGAGGACTGCCTTTAATCTGAGTCTTTGCTGGCACTGTAAGCAATTCTTCTATCACTGAAGAAGCTGAAAGCAATCGCTGAAAGGAAAGGATCAGCCGTACTAAGAATTAATCCTTACCTTCACATTGTGCATGTTTATTACGTTCCCACAATCATCTAGATACTGTTTGAGGTCTTTATCCTGTGAAAGAAAAGGACAGGGTTTTATCTCTGTTACATTTAGTGTTTCAACAAGGTAATATTGTTCCAACAATTACATCAGAAGGTCTTAATGCAAGGTAATCAAACACAGACTAGCAGACACAGCTTTACAGCTGGAAGATACACTGTGTGTTGTTCCCACTCCTCTCAAGATATAATGGGCCAATATAGCAATCTGAGAACCTGAGGTACCCCAAGCCTCTGCCTCAACAGAATTCCAGCTTGAGTAACCTGAACTGAAGTAAGAGGGGGGGGCATCAGATACTCCATGCCAGCTGGTTCCCAGGCTGACTCATCTTAATGAAGGCATGTGCAATGAGTAGAATGGGTTTAATTGGGCGCTATGGTGACCCCTCTATAGATACAGGCAATTCATCACTCTCTTTTAACAACCCCATAATCCCTTGCAGGGTGAAATCTGGGCAACTGAATGGAGCTGAGTGTTACTGGCCGGATGCCCTTCCTGTTGCCAATGCAGAGGTTCCCCCCCCCCCCCAGTAGATATATTCTCAGTGTGCCCAGAGAGAGAAATATCTGCTTCTACCTAGGATCAAACTCACAGCCTCCTTTTTTGTAATGCGAGTGCCACCTCTATGACACCGCACCACTCCCTATAGATACAAGCAACTGAATTAGGAAAATGAAGCCTGGGAGCTGATGGAAGCCGGTCCCTGATCCAATTCTTTATTCATAGCTCCACCAAGAAGCATTGACCAAAAGCATTACAAGCCACTTATCTTTGACTTTTCTTGCTACGTTTGTTAAGCGAAGCTTCCTGTGTGAAGCAAGAAGAGATCATAGAGATCTACAATATATACTTGTTTTATTTAGAGATCAAATACATGGAACACTTTACCTTCTTAGAAGGAGGGGTTATTGTGTCATTTATTCAGCTTTTGGAACTTAACCTTTGAGAACTACTGTCGGTTCCACCCAAGCTACAAAACTTGCTGCTAAAGTGGCTGTTCCAAAAACAAGCAGAGAATTCTCTCAAAAGTACTTGAACTCTCCCAGAAAACTACAGTTCCCCAAAATCTTCAGAAGGGTGTCTCTACTGCCTGGAGTTTAAGGACCATCCTTTTCTCAAACCAAAGTGGCAGCTTGCACATAAGGAAAGTTGGTGGTGACTCTGAATTTTCTAGATCTTAAAGAGAATTGGATTTTCAGACATAAAAGAAAGTTGTGTTCCAATTTATTTCATTCCCTCCCTTCCTCTATCTACTCACCAAATACTCGAAGACGAGAGTCAGGGATTTCTCCGTATGGATGATATCATGCAGGGTCACTATGTTGGCATGTTTCAAATCTTTTAGAAGTGAAACTGTAAGAGAAAGAAAGATGGGAGACATGAGATCTGCACCACAAACATTTCTAATGCAATCATTTCCAAATAGGTGGCTTTGAGAGAATTATTTGAACATAACACAAAAGAAAAGAATTCAAGTTCCTGGGAGCCCAAAACATACTTAAAGGAGCCATTTGTTTCACTGTTCCAAAATGCAGTATTCTAGCCTTGAATTCAATTATGGGAGAGAAAGCTAAGGACCAAATTTTCTCTGTATAGATGACTAGAACTGCAATCCAGGGCTGCAAGGGATATGACTGCAAGGAGTGCTTAGCTACGTACATTGGCCATTTTGCCTCTCTGTAATATCAATAATGTTCTTTCTTTCCTCCTTATGCAGATACAAAGGGAGGGAAATCTATCTTCATACATTGTTTTATAGGGCCAATGAGACTGGAGGAGTTTGGGGAAGAATGGTCAGGATGAATGGGTTGCATCCCATCCGGTGCACCTATTGGCTTGCTTTTTTGCGCTTTCATTTCTCCATGTGACTGCATGCCTAAGCACTTCTACTTTTTAATGGCTTGAGAACCAGTTGCCCTGCTTAACGTTGGTGTCAACGTCCGCCTTAATTACATTAGAAAAATGTAGGGTCCTGCTGACAGCCTAGCAATACATCTCTTGCATGTTGGCGGAAAGACTGCAGCAAATTCTGAATTCAACTTACGACCACAATTGAGCCCAACATTTCCGCTGCTAAGCGAGCCATTTGTTAAGTGAGTTTTGCCCCATTCTACGACCTTCCTTGCCACAGTGGTTAAGGGAAAACACTGAAGTTGTTCCGTTATAACATGGTTGTTAAAATAAAACTGGCTTCCCATGGACTTTGCAGCAGAAATTTTAGCCTCAATGATGGTCATAAGTCAAGGACTACCTGTACTGAAGAACATCAATAAGGTGAGCCACATGAAATGCCAAGACTGATTGAAATTTCCCTTTGAGTAATCTGCCAATTGTCCTTAATCATTAAAGTTCGTCAACATTTTTGATGTGAAACTTGGTGGTTGTCACAAGTATGTTTTGTTCGTGATCATACAAATCAACATTTCTCAATTCACTACCTGTACACTTTTTGGGCCCAGCAACACACAGTATTCACCTCAATGCATTCATCACTGTAAGCAACCTACACTCAGCAATGGCAGTCAAAAGTACAGTTCAGCACATGAAATGAGTAAATTGACATTTGACATAAGAGAACAAGAAGATAAACAATTTTATAAGATATGGGATTTATTTATCAATGGTTAGAAAAAAAAATATGGAAATGAAATATGTTAGAGAATTTTACAATATAAGGATAATAGAATTATACAGAATATAATATAAAGATGTATTACCATTGATAACATGAATTGTTTTATTATAAATTAATTTAAAATTTTGAATATCTCGTATAAAATGAGGGAATAATAGTTTAGTCAAATAAATGATTAACAATGATAATAATGTATGCATATACATTAGATTGATAATATGAGAATTTATATAAACAACTGTAAGTGAGGACTAGGGAGAGGATGCACAAAAAAATTGTAACCGACACACTGTATGTATGTAATTGGAAGATGGTTTTATGTTTTATGTCTTGTTTGTGTATGTTTGTCTAAAAATAAAAAAAAATCTTTTTTAAAAAAAAGTACAGTTCAACACATTGTTTAAAGTGAATACTGACTGTAGGTTTCTATTTCACAAACAGCAACCCAGCCTTTCTTCACAGCAACTTTCCCCCAATGAAATGAAAGAACAGACACACCAGAGCTTCTAATATGGACAGTCCTCAACTTATGACCACAATTGAGCCCAACAGTTATGTTGCTAAGTGAGAAATTTGTTGAGTTTTGCCCCACTTTACGGCTTTTCTTGCCACATTTGTTAAGTGAATCACTGCAGTTCTTAAATTAGTAACACAGTTTGTTAAGTGAATCTGGCTTCCCCATTGACTTTACTTGTCACAAGGTTGCAAAAGGTGATCACATGATCCTGGGGCACTGCAACTGTCGTAAGTATGAGTCAGTTGCCAGGTACCTGAATTTTGACCATGGGGATACTGCAATGGTCGTAAGTGTGAAAATTGGTCATAAGTCACTTTTTTTCAGAGCCATTGTAACTTCAAATGGCCACCAAGTGAACTGTTATAAGTTGAAGACTATCAATACAGGTAGTCCCTTGACTTATAATAGTCTGTTTAGTGACCATTCAAAGTTATAACGGCACTGAAAAAAGGAACTTACGACCATTTTTCACAGTTATGGCCTTTGCAGCAGCCCCACGATTATGTAATCAAAATTCAGATGCTTTTGGATCATATTTATGACATATTTATGACTGTTGCCATGTCCTAAAGTCATAAAAATCCATTTTTGTAATCTTCTAACAAGTAGTCAATGGGGAAGCCAGGTTCACTTAACAACCGGGTTACTAACATAACAACTTCAGTGATTCACTTAATAACTGTGGCAAGAAAGGTTGTAAAATGGGACAAAAACTCACTTAACAAATGTCTCACTTAACCACAGAAATTTTGGGCTCAATTGTGGTCGTAAGTTGAGGACTACCTGTATTGCCATCTGCTAGCAAGTCCCAATGCTCATTATTTTTCATTCAGCCCTTGTGGTTTGTAGATGGTTAAAATGAAAATGTCACTTGCAGATCTGTCTCTCTATATACATCTAACTCATCCAGGACCTTGACTGAATCCCACTGCATTTCTTACTATGTTTTTGGGGGTTTTTTTTGTCATGTTCAATGCCCATCTACTGCAGCCTTCCCTGCTTTGACATGCTCTAAATTGCTCCATGCCAGCAGGACCGTATCTGAAGAATATGGGATTAGGAAAGGCTGAACTAAACGTTTGGTAAATGACTCCTCTATGTAGAGTTATGGCTGTTTGCCTCAGATGAATGCTATGCTTTTCTTTGCTTTCAAAGTCTACAGGTTCTTATAACCTCCCATTACTTGATAGCTACTACATGGAGCTCTCAAGGAAGCTTATCAGCGGGGCAATTCTATATCAAGCCAACCAGTTTTTAGCATTCTTTTCTTTCAAATAATATCTTCCCACAGTTTCTGTTAAAAAGACAAAATAATGCAAGAGTTCTTTGAAAGACCTGGAAGAAGTGGCTACAGGTTTATACCTTCCCGAATGGCTGTGCAAGGGGCGCCCTCTTCATGCTCAAGACGGATCTCCTTCAAAGCCACTAAGTTGTCAGTGAGCTTACTCTTTCCCTTGTAGACAGTGGCATAGGTTCCCTGATGTGGAAGAGGCAAAATTTAAGTTAACACCCAACATGGTACTTGTAAACTGGCCAGAGTCTCTTAAGGCAGTGAGATGGCTGGTGTACAAAGGTGATTAAATAATTTATTTATTTATTTTTAAACGTTTTATTTCAGTTTTCCATATTTTAAAAACATCTCTTTTTAGTGAGCAGCATGAATACAGGCTTCCACATTGACATACAAATATGACCATGGTTACACATTCAATTTTTATATTCAACTTCTTGTCTTAATGATGCTTTTATACATTGTCTATTTTATTGTATTATTCCAAGTGTTTGCTAATAATTTCTGAGGAATAAGTATCCTGTCATCTTCTATAAGCGCCAGCCCATCCTTCAGCTTTTGCATTTCACCCCACGCTTAAGATTCAAAACTGCAGCTTCAACATGAGAATTATTTCAATGTGACCTCTTTGTCTCTCATTCCTTTTCTCATCCTCATCCCACCCCGAAGTTCCTTCTCTACGTAATTCCTATCTTCCCAGGCTTAAACTTCCCTAAAATAGGAAAAACTATCTCTGAAGTTGTACCGATCGGACAAACTTGTCGTTTCAATGAGAACAATCCCTCCTTTATTGACTGTTCACCCAACTTCTTTGTTACCAATTCACTAGTGGCAGTGACATTTCTACTCTTCCGGCGGAAGAAAATACACATAACTCAGGGTTGAACTGTGGAGTCCTCGCTGTTCTCTGAGCTTAGTTGTTTTATGACCCGACTAGGTAACATCATCAGTGCCAATGAGTGTGGAATTTCCTCTTTCTTTGGCGAGAAAACCGCATGCCCACCAACACTGGCCGAATAAGTTACTACAGTATGTATAAAGAGAGAGCAAATCCCACACTCACAGACGCTGATGATGTTACCTACTCAGGTAATGAAATATCTGCAAGCAAACAGCCAAGCTCAGAGAGTACCAAAGACATCACATTTATACTCTTCACAACCACAGTGATAACTATGTCCAATTTGCAGCAAATATGGGAGTCTGGTACTTGGATTTGCAAGCCCCTCCCAGGCTTGTTTGGATAACAATAAATTAGGCATAGCACTAGGCACATATACTGGTAGAAAGATACCTGTAACCAATCTAGTTTTATCAGGACAGGAGTGTCTCTGACCAGGAATAGATGGGAATATTTTGTCCCTGATTTTAAAGGTTCGAAACAGTTAATGCTTTTCTTTATTTATCTTTTTAAAGCCCTGAAGTAGGCCATTAACAAGCCATTCAACAAACCCTCAAAGATGAAATGGGGTAAAACTGGAGCTCTGGATATTAGCTGAGAAATATAAAATTACAAGTGCAGGTGGCTTCTTTCTTGGGGCAAGGGAAAGGAAGGGAATTCTCTGTTCAAGGACTTCCAAATACAGGGTTCTGACTACATTTGACTCCCCTGGGCAAATCAAGTCCTAAAAGTGGCTACCAAGATGGTAGGAACTAGAAAAAATATTAGAATAAAAGATAAAATAGAATATATAGGCCAGACAATTTGCTCATGTACTATACAAGAACAGTAAAAATAATAGTGCAGTTAGAAGCCATGTCCAAAATCAGAACACGGAGGAAGATTGAAGCCTGGGAGGTAGGCTTTCTTCTCGCAATGAATGGTTTGGTCATGGCTACTAGAGATGGTAAGAAAATCACCCACTATAGGATTCTGTTCTCCACCATTAAGAGACTGGCAAGATCCAAAACCAAACACAAGGATAAAAAGATTGGAGCTGAAACCACCTTGGACTCCTATACAACCCAACGCATGTTAAAACAAAGAACCACCGTTTCTCAAGTGAACTAAAATCCACTTCTTACCTTTGACCAGTCTGAAAAAGGCCAGTTCACAACACTCACCTCTCCCAATTTGTCCAACTTCACGTATGTCTCCAGCTTCCCAAAGCCAATCTCGGACTAAATGAAAAAGAACCAAGAAACAAAGTGTAATGGATCTGCCCTTTTCAGTCTGGGGTGCTTAGAAAGTCAGCAACAGCAGCAGTTGCTGACCTGCAGTACTTAGTACTGGTCCCGCGCCAGTGAAGGGGGAACACTGAGAAGTAGAAAAGGGAGACAGGTGATTCCTATTTACCAAAGAGACTCTGCGTAACCGCCTGCTCAAGGGCTTGTCAAAGAGAGGGCTGTTGAGGGTCAGTTTCTCCAGGTAGCCTTCGGGCAGACGGATGTCAGCTGGGAGTGACAGGCGCTTGTTAATATCCTGGGAAGCAGAGAAAAATTAAGTCAGCTTTTTTATTAAAAGCCTCCCAAAATTAGAAGCCTGGGTGGACTGACAGATAGTAAAAGGAAATTTTTTGTTAGTTTTTATTGTTTTTTATTTGTATGTTTTGTTTTAAATATGGTTTTATATTGTGTAAGCCGCCTCAAGTCGCCATGGGCGAATAGGTGGCAATATGAATTAAATAAATAAATGCCCAGGCTAGAAGTGAAGAAGGCAGAGTCTCCAGTTTCTCCTGCACTTCAAAAAAAAAAAAAAAAATCACAACCTCTCTTTTAACCAGCATGGAATCTAAGCAAAGAAAAAAATCTAAGTAAGTCCTGAGAAAAGCATCAATAACCTTTGGATTCTCCAGGACATTTGGGGCCGATTTAGAAATCTTGGTAACAATTTCCTGTGCGATCTCACAAACCCATATATAGGAATACAAAAAAGTCAAATTTTACTAAGTGATTAGACTCACAATATGTTAAACTCAGTATCTGGGTTAACAATTAGTAGACATAAATAAACCACTAACAAATCAAATCAACCCCCGTTTAATTTAGTCCGGCATGCAATGCGAGGAATTCTGTGCAAAACCCATGCATTTATCAAATGTTTGTCTTACTTTTATCTGAGGTAACTTGGGGTAGACTTTGCCTTCCCTAATCACTGTAGCTAACTTTGGGGAGTAAAAAATGAGAATGTAACTTGAGAAGGCAGACATCTTTATTCCTTTCACATCTCTCCATGCAAAAGCAGCCCATTATTAATGGGAGACAGAGAACTCTTTGTTCCCACCTTAAGCTGTCCCTCCATCATCACCAGCCAGCACCCACATACCTCAGTGGAAATCTTGCGCGCTGGGTTGTTCCGCATACGCACTCGGACGGGAGACTGCACCTCATCTGATGATGTTCCTGATGCCTGATCACTCTCACCATCCGAACCCATTTTGAGGTCCTCGTGAACAATTTCTGCATCAAGGAGAAATGCGGATGAAGACACGGTGGGCAGAGAGGACTCACCCCATTCCCTCCAATATTTGTAAAGCTGGGCTGTAGAAGGAAGCAACGGATCAGCCCAATGGGTTGGAACTAGAACTCCCATCATTCCCAGGCCATGGGCTATGCTTACTGAAGTCTCTGAGAACTGCAATCCCATTACAATTGGTGGGCACTAGTTGGGAAGTGGCTGCTGTCAACCCCTAAGCATAATGTTTTATGTAAAGGTGTAAATGTTTTAAATAAATACTCTTCTTTCAGTCTGAAACCATTTCATGAATGTTCCACAATAGCAACCCAACATTGATAATACAATATATGTATTTTGGCAATCTCAATTCCATCCCTCCAGAAGATTTAGACATGCTGCCACCAGGAGTACCTCCCCCCAAAATAGTAAGACTACATGGCTATAGATCAGGGGTCTTCAAACTTGGCAAGTTTAAGACTTGTGGACTTTAATTCCCAGAATTCCTGAGCTAACATGACTGGAGGATGAATTCTGGGAGTTGAAGTCCACAAGTCTTAAACTTGCCAAGTTTGAAGACCTTTGCTACAGATGATGGACTGGACTTCACTTTTTTAGACTGATCACAATTTTAAGGGGTTCCCTGCGTATAAAAAGCTACCACAACATGTAAGAGCCTTCATTAGACTTTCCCTCTTCCATGTAATTGTCCTTTATTAGCAGGATCAAGTTCTATAACCTACTCAGTTGACTTACTCAGTTATAGGGGTATAAGCAAGATCAGAGAATGGGATAACATGTTCTGATTTCCCTCTGTCCACTTTGTTTCTTCGTTAAATTTATTTGCCACCCATCTCATTTCAAAGTGACTCTGGGCTGTTTTCAGCATAAAAACATTAAAATCATCAAATATAAATAAACACCCAATTATCCCCCAGTTTATTAACTACTTCTTCTAACATAATTTGACTAGCTGCATTACTTATAATTATGTGGGTTCCACAATCATGTGTAAAAAAATCCTCTAAATGTTCAGTATAACATTTTAATATGTAGCAATCAAAGTATATACCACTGTGAGCCAGCCTTCCTCAACATGTTGCTCTCAAGAAATGATAGTATCACTCATCTATCTTCCCCAAACCGAATTAGACGCTGGATAGTGTAATCCAGCACATCCAAAGAGCACCAGATTCAGGAAAATTGCTCTGGGAATGGGATTACACTGGCTCGCTGATTCTGTGCATCTTTTTAAAGACAACTTGAACCTTGAGGTCTGCTTCAGTGTTTTTTAAAATAGCTATATGTTGAATTCATGTCAGTGATACTCTCAAGAGTCCAAAACAGTATTTCGGACCTAATGCTTTTAACTCCCCAAATTCCCAGACTCCATAGCCATTGTTATATGTCATAAGCCAAGAGTCTTTTTTGGAATCAGGAAGCTTCAAATCCCAGTAAATTAAACTGAATTAATTATAACTCAATACCTCTGGAAGTTATCTGGTTGGGAGAGGCTGATTTAAAAGGACAGCAAATCACTTTATATTGAGTAAGGCCACTGGTCCAGCCGCTCAGCACTCTCTGGAGCAAGGGTGTCAAACTCACGTCATGTGATGTATGGCAACTTTTCCCCTTCGCTAAACTGGGCGTGTGACTGGCCAGTGTATGACGCATCTGGCCCGCAGGCCGCCAAGTTTGACAACCCTGATCTGAAAAGCAACATCAGGGTGGTCTTATGAAAAGATTCCCACTTTATTGCTAAAGCGCCTCAATCTTTCATCTTTCACAGAAGATTGTGCTAATCAATTTCTGCTCAAAATCATCTTATACAGAGGATGTGCCTGGCATAACCTAGACATGTAGAGGGCATTTAGAATAGCCCAGGAAAAATAATTAATAAAAAGTAAAAGTGACATGACCAGGTTCACACATTATGCTAAGCCAGGATTTAGAACCATAATTACTGGAAAAAATTCCACCTTTAGCTTTAGAGACACCTACTGAATACAAGTTTCACCTATTGGGCTAACAAATCATACTCTACATTAGCATAGTGAGTGAGACCAGCCAGAATAAAACTCACAGATTCAGTATGATGCACTGAATAAGATCAAGATTAATTTCTCTTCGAGTGAGACCCTGTAATCTGAGACTCCAGCTTCCTTACCAACCTCATCCTGGAGCAAAAATTCAAGACTCTGGGTTCCCCAGACCTCTTACTCAAGGAATTGATGTACCCCAGCTTGACACAAGATGCTCAGGTGCCTAAATAAGTTAACAGGGACTCCAAAAAGCCTCTCTTGAAGTCAGACTGGCTTGACTTGTGGCTTCAACCCACCACGGGGAGCCCTTACTGGCAGCACAGTGGGAGGTGCGATAGTCACCTAATCGGGTGGTACGGCCGAGGTGAGAGCTCAGACTGCGGCTGACGGCCAGACGGGACCTGTGGAAGGAGCCTGCGTAGTGGTGCAGGAAGGCGTGAACGCTGCGGGAGGTGCTGGGATGCACACTCTTCACTGTGGGGCCTGGGGGTGGGGGGCAGGAGAAGGAGGGGAGGAGGAAAGCCCACAGACAGACAGATGGGAGGGAGGGATATGGAAGATGCAGGAAAAATGGAGGGGGACACAGGTGGCCGGGGAATGTGGTGTCCGGATAGTGAAGAACAGAACATCAGCAAAAGGAGAGAAAGGGAGTGGTAGGAGGGGAAACACCAGTGAGAAGCAGAAGTAGCAGCAACAGAGGGAGAAGGAAAGTGGGATCCCAGAGGAAGAATATCCATCTCCACCCAACCACAAAAAAAAGTGGAAGTATAAACAGAGGGAGGGAGGGTAAAGTGGAGACAAAAGGGAACCCCAAGCAACATCCAAAGGGAGTGATATGGAAAAGACCGGTGCACGAAAGGAGGGGTGGGGGAAGGAAAAGAAGAGGTTGAGCAAACAGCCCACAGCAAAGAACCGAAGGCATGGGGGACAGACAGTGGCCACCACACAAGCAAAGGGATTGATGCCGCCACAGAAGAAGGGAGGCCAATATAAACAGAAAGATGGGGGAAAAAAGAGGGAAAAAAAGAGAAATATGAAGGAAGGAAGGAAAAACAAAACACAAATCAAAGTAGAATGGAAATCAAACTCAAAAGACATCCCTCGGCCAAGGGGCAGGATTGGGGAATATAACGGAGAGACAGGACTTACCAGAGTGAGACAGCCTTCCCTACCGTTTTAATAACTGGAGACCTCACCCCACCCCTCAAATATATTTGAGATTGGAATTTTTATAGTATAACAATGAGTAATGTTGCTTTGCTGCACTGTTTCAACTCACAAAACATGTCTTCCAGCGTAGCTTTTCATGAGCTTAGCTAATTCTACAGCATCTCAGCAACATTCTTAAAAGTGAAAGTTCAATATTTCAGTCCTCACTATGACACCGGTAGCCCTGACCCAACAAAGGCAAGATGGTTTGAGTAGTCCACAACAAATTTCCAGATGTCTATTGGCCTGGAATATGCCTATGGCTATTTTTTTTAGTCAACAGAAACATCTTAAGTCATGCATTCTGATTTCACCTGCACTAATGCTCAGGATCGGACTCAGAACTACTTTCTACGCTGCTCCATATCCATCCAACATGTCCTTTATTTTCTGCTCTATATGAGTTTAGGATGGTGAAAATAGGTCCTCATGCTGGCAGAGAGAGAAAGAAACAGGATGCATCCTTTTCCCTTTCACCTTTTATTAACATCATTTTTCACAACTCCAAAGTTGTCTGTTACTGTAGCCTAGGCAGCTCAGTTCTGTAGAAAAACCAGTTTCACAGCTAGGTAAAAGGGCCTCCAGGTTGCAGGGAATTTTCTGACCATTTGCAAAGGAAGTTGCTAAAAACTCTGTAGAATGTGCAGATTCTGCAGAATGGGAGCACATTTATGTCTTTTTAACACAGAACAGCCCCACTTAAGCCAGGGTTTGGCAATGTTCAAGAAGTTAGGAGCCACAATTCTGCCTCCTTATCTTCCAGAGGGCTTCAAGAATTTGTCCATTTTTTAGAATTGGGGGAGGGGGGGGTGTTGGGGAATGTTCAACGGTAGAAGTGGAAGGCCTCTGGGAAGCAAAAGAATCACACGTTAAATTTCCAAATGCTAGTTTGAAAGCAGTTCCCAAATCGCCTCCGAGCTGTTTTTCTGGTAAGGAAGTTAAAGGTGAGAACATGAATAGTTCGCAGCCAGACGTCTCCTGTTTCAGTTCCCATCCTTCAAGCTGAAAATATGACCCCCCCCCCCAAAAAAAAAGTTAAAAATCAGCCTGACAAATGTACTGGATGTTTTTTTGTCCTTTTTAAAAAGTATTTTGTACCCTGTGGGATTCTACGCAGGTTTGCAACATGTTGGCCTTAATAAACTGCCACGACACTTCCATATGAGTGTGTGTGAGTGTGTGGGGGGGGGGGGGGGGGGGGGAGGGGGGGGGGGAGGGAGAGGGGAGAGAGAGGGAGAATATGTGAATGCAAGCTGTATAAACTTTAGCAGTGGAAATGTGCTTTATCAAAAATATTTTCATTACAAAGGGCAACCATCACACTCTGTCCTGGATGTCCCACCCCCAAAATGCATTCTTGACTCCTCTGCACACCGTTACTCAGCCTGCTGCGGGACCTGTAATGGGGCCTCTCTCCAAAGACAGTCCAAAAGCTTCAACGAGTACAATGAGCTCCTGCCCAGAGTTTGAACAAGGCCAGGAGATCAGAAAACATTCCTTCGGTTTTGTGCCATCTCCCGGTTATCCAGAAGCTTTCATTCCTAATTCCAGATGCTATCTTAATTTCTGAATGCCTGGAGACTTGATTATCTAAAACAGTGATCCCCAACCTTTTTGACGCCGCGGCCCGGTACCGGCATCAGCTGGGCGCCGCCACCTTTTTTTGATGAAAACGTGCTTCCGGTGAGCTTTCTACCCGGAAAAGCTCACCGGAAGCACTTTTTCATGAAAAAAAGATGGCGGTGCCCAGCAAGCCGCGGCCCGGTAGGAGTTGTTCCACGGACCGGTACCGGTCCGCGGACCGGTGGTTGGGGACCCCTGATGTAAAAGACTAGTCCCATCCCTATAAATCTTCTCTATCTGGCTATTTAATCATCTATAACTCCCAACTATTTAATAAGGTTTACATTAGAAAATCTTCTGGGTCCATTTGCCAGCGCATAAAAGTTTCATGTCAGAAGTTTAGACAGGCAGCAAAGTCTGATACCTTCAACTGAATTAATAAAAGGGCTTCAAGAAGCTTTGCCAAGCATCCTATGATCTTGCTGCTATAGCCGCTCTCCTTTGTGGGCTTTTTAGCGTAATGTTCTGTTATAAGGGTACAGCCAAGAAAAGTGATTGTAAGTAGATCAGTTAAAAAAAAAAGAGATCTGCTATCAATTCTCTCTCCAAGGAGGTGAAGATCGAGGAGGGAACTCACCATTATCGCTACTGTTGTTTTCCTCTATATTAATGGGTTCATTGAGGTTTTTCTCTACAGTTCGGCTCCCCCGTAGCGTCATGGACAGCTGCCTCTTGATCTTCTTCATCCGATCCATGATGGGGAAGGGGCTGGAGTCACTGCTGAAGGTACAGGATGAGGAAACTGTTATCCAGTGTGTTAAACAAGCAATTTTATTTAGACTGCATTAGACTGCAGCTCAGATTCTTGGCCAAATTATGGCTGGTAAAAACTTCAAACTGAATGCCATCAATTAAAGTGCATTAAAAAACAACAACAGTAAAGTGACTCATCAAAGTTCCTCCAAAATTCAAGGATAGCTCTTAAGAGACTTTCGTATCTTTATCGACATATGATTTTTAAACAATATTTTTAGATAATACATAGAATACATCTGTACAAGTCTAACATCCGGAAGATTACAGCCAATGATTTGACTAGAGATTTCAAACCAGCATCAAATCTCTTAGTTTATTGGATTCCCAGATTGAATAGTTCAAGATAAAGCAACCTAGGGTTCCAACAGCTCCATCCAGCTTGACCAAAGGTACCAAAACTGCTCTGTATCTTTTCAGATTCATCTTCCATGTTTTTCTCCTTTCTATTCGCTCCTATGGAGAACTTCCCTTTTCACATCTCAACCACCCTTTCCTAGTCCACAACCTGTATTCCTTGGCTTCCCTGGTTTCACCTTAGTTGGACTCCTCCTTTTTCCATTGTTCCATCCCTAGGTCTACCTGCTCATTCCCCTTCTAGGCTTTGACCAGCTCTTCTGTGAAAATAAAGCACGACAGCCGATCACTGCCAGAAACTACAGAAGCCTCAACCGCCATAAATCCCCAGCACTGTTGCCATGTAGTGATACAAATAAACATATGGTTTTAATGTTTAAGGAGATGGAAGAATAAAATAAATTCTGTTTCTGCATACCGAAGGTCAGTGCAGATATGAACGGCAAGGGAATTGCTCACAAAACCAAGAGCATGCTGTTTATCAAATTAAACTAGGGCAGAGCGCAGCAAACATCCTACACAGTGACACTATGAAATTCACCACTGTACAGCTATCTACACTGGGGATTAGATAGCTTCGTAAAGAATACAACTGATAGTAACTATTACCTCCAGTCAGGGGTGGGATTCAATTTTTTTAACAACCGGTTCTGTGGGCGTGGCTTAGGTGGTGGGCGTGGCTTGGTGGTCATGTGACTGGGTGGACATGGCTTGGTGGTCATGTTATTGGCTGGGTGTGGCCAACTCAGTATCACTCACATCAAGGTATGCATCTCCTCCCCTGGCCTCTCATGACTGTGGGGATGCTGCAACAGTCGTAAGTGTGAAAAATGGTCATAAGTCACTTTTTTCAGTGCCATTGTAACTCCACACAAGCAAAGTAACAGCAAAGGAGGAAAAAAAAACCTCCAGAGATGTTCCTGAGACAGGAAGTCTAGCCCTGCCAAGAATGTAATAAGGGTTAACGGAGAGGCAGTTTCTGTAAGCAACACCAGAATGTTTCCTTCCTGCCTTCCTTACAGGATTAGGCCAGTAATTTCTTCTAACAACCAGTTCTCCGAATTGCTTAGAATGTTAACAACCGGTTCTAGCGAATAGGAGAGAACTGGTAGAATCCCACCCCTGCCTCCAGTACAGAAGAAGCCTCTATCTCAATAACTGTTCCCTGAAGGAAAGAGAGGGAACCCTATTTAAACTTGTATGATATTAAAGGGGTTCCTAAAAGCATCTGGTTACCTACCATCTGTGGGAACAGAGCACATTGCCTAAGTGGCCTTTGGTATGATTTAACAAATATTTTGTTGTATCTTCCTACCCACACCCACACCCAAAAAAGAACATCTGAAAATCCAGGAACACAATCAGCCTTTACACACACACACACATACACACCAAATCTTATGGTGACGCTCTTGCTTGAACAAGCCAGGTGGATGGCAGAAGTAGCAGATCTTACTCTTCTTGGTCAGAGGCTCTTCTTAGCTGTTCACACTTTTGTCTACAAGTAGTCCTCGACTCACAACCACCACAAAGCCCCAAATTTATGTTGCTGAGAAATTTGAAGTGAATTTTGCCTCCTTTTACGACCTTTCTTGCCACCATTGTTATGTCAATCACTGCAGTTGTTAAGTTAGTAATCCGGTTGTTAAGTGAATCTGGCTTCCCCATTGACTTTGCTTGCTCAGAAAGTCACAAAAGGAGATCACATGACCCCCGGACACTACAACCTGTCATAAATATGAGTCATTTGCCAAGCATCCCATTTTGGATCATGTGACCACAGGGATGCTGCAATGGTGGCATGTGTGAAATAATGGTCACAAGTCACATTTTTCAGTATTGTTGTTAACTTTGAATGGTCACTAAACAAACTCTTGTAAGTCGAGGATTACCTGCACTGTGTTTTCTCTGATCAACAAGATTCCTTGGACTTATACTGGCTTCCACAAAAGTGAGACAATGTTCCTCTTCCAGTTTTTTGTTTTTTGTTTGTTTTAAAGCTCATACTGAAGCTTAACACCAAACATTCTCTCCTTCATTATCTCTAAGAAAGTCATTCAAAACCCAATGAAATTGAGAAATTCCCCACCGTGTTGCCCATAAAGCACCCCAACCTTTTCACTCGAATCCAGTGAAGGATCTTAAGAGTCACTCTGACCTCCAACAGGAAAGGACTGAGGAAGCCAAAACAAGCCTAGCTGGAGTGGCTTTATAGCAAGGACTCAACAGGCAATCTCTTTTTATAGCATGAAATCATAAAATGACAGGAGGTAGAATGAACTGAAGAAACATACTTCCCGAAAGGTAAATTCAAGTAAAGCTTGCCAGGAGGCAATCTCACCACAACTCCCTTCGGGTGGGGGGACACCTATAAGCAACACTGTTTATATTTGCACCTAAATGTGATAACCCCACTGGATATCAGGGTATAATGTCAAAGGCAGCTTATATGAACTATCATCTGGACACCGTAGAAAACTAAACAACCTAACAATAAAACAGTCAATGGCCTGAGAACAGAACTAGTTCCTGGGATACCTGCCAGGACTGGAAAACATCAACAGATTGGCCATCCACCCTTCCCCAAGCTTCTGCTCTCAGAGCTAATTATTTAGTGATGAAGGAAAAAATAATGCGTGCCTCAAAGGTGTAGTCTCCGTTCACGTGGAGTGACACACAGGGCCGTCTCTACAAAAAGGGAAAGGCCACTTCCTCAGAAGGCAGGGCTAGGTGGAGACCTGGAATGGTAGCGAAGCATGGAAGGAAAAAGAGCTCTTATGTCCTTTGTCACCTGCCCTGTAACAAGGAAGAATGTTGTATAGCCAGCTTCTGTGCGTGGAACTGGGCCTAGACAAATGAGACCCAAGAGGCAGGCCAAATCTGCAGCTTCCAGAAACTCAGGCACAGAGTTTATTTAGCAAATAATAAGATTTCTAAGGTAATGATCGGATGAGAAAGGTTTTTCAACAGCAGTCGGTTTAAGAGTCCGCCCTTCCGAGTCATCAAAGAGGAAAGCATTTGATGAAGTTTCTGCACGTGTCAGGGAGAAGGGGAAAATAAGTCTTTTATTTATTTATTTTAAAGACTGACTTTTTAATGTCATACTTATCACCAAATTGGGATCTGGGAAAATATTCTGCCCTGGGTCATTGGGGCTGACAATACAATTAGCATAATTGATGCTAAGTACGTAATTTGAAGGGCGTGAGTCGCTGAAGAAAGCCTCCCTTCCCCATTTGTGGCATTACTGAGGAAAAAAGAAGGCTGAGGTCATCCGAGGCCTGAACAAGCTATGTTTGATGACAAACAAAATTTGGAGGCTTTCTTGCTCTCAACTACGTCTGGATGGAGCTTTTATGAAATTAAAGCACAAGGAATGGTAGCGAATAAGGAATCTGCCCGGTCTAGCCAGGCACTTCACAGATGAGATCCAAACCCAGTGAGGATGCACCGGGTACTGGATCTGCTGAATGCCATCATTTATCAAAAATGGAATAAGCTTTCTTTCTTCGCAAGAAGGCCTACATACAACTTGGACAAGTCAAAAAGCCCTCATTGCCATATTTTGCTGCAAGGTGGCTGTGACATTCCTAGTATTAGCCACTTATTGCACTTTCAAAATGCTACATCTGCTTATAAACAGAACAAATGACTCCCCCCACCCCATTTAATACTCTTGTGTATTCACTGTCTTTCCTACATGCAGACTCTGCAAAACGCTTCAAGCTACCCAGACAGGCACAGCCCATCAACCACGTACAGTGGCTAATGATTTATTCAAATGCCTCCCCGTGTTTCATTACCGCAGGCAGACAACAGCAAACAGGAAAAAAAAAAAAAAACTCACAACAGAATTTATATACTCCACTGCAGCCTAGGTAGCCAACAGACCAGCCTGGCCCAAACTTGTACCTTGACTGAGTAGCAATCAGCAGGGGGAAATTTCTCACGGCAAGGAAATGAACATGATCGCATATTTATTCCTGTTGTTAAAACTGTAGCTGCAAGGAGCGTGCGAAACATTTCAAATTCAAAATGGCTCAAGCTCACCATCCTCTGATTCAAGTTCACACGTCGCAGATATAAAAAAGAGAATTCAAACATTTTGCACATTTTTTTAAAAAAAACCTTTATTTGGGACTAATAGCACAGTGTCTTTCTATGCTGGTATAGAAAGACACTGTCACTTGTAAACATTTCAGTAAAGCAAGCTTTTCAGCTGTATACATTGAATGATAAAAAGGAGATATTGAAACCAAAACCTCCAGTCGCTCAGTTCAGCAGACGCTTCAGATCGTGATACACAAGGTTTGCCTTCCATAACCTGGTCTCTGTATATTTCTAATATTCCAACTCTAACCCTGGACCTTCATGGTCATTAAAAATCCAATAAAGCAAATAAAGCATATTTTAAATTTTAAGTATGTATTTTTGGCATAAATAATACTCAGCACAATCCAAAAACTATGTATAAATAGCAATCCTATTCTGAGCGGAATTTGAACAGACAGCTTGAACATTAAGGATGCAAAATTGCAATACTGAGTGGCTTAAGCATCGGATACATTAGAGTTTCGTAACTTTTGACCTTCAGTTCCTGACAGAAAGGC